TACACACACACACACACACACACACATATATATATATATATATATATATATATATATATATATATATATATATATAATCTTTTCATGTATGCATATTTGTTTTCTAATTTTACTCTTTAACTATTATTTTGTCATTTTCACCAAACTTAATTAACCTTTAGCTATTAGAAATTTACGGCATCATAACTCCATATATGATAGATATTTGAAATAAATTCAAGTATGCAACATTTAAAAAATATTTTTTATCTAATTTTTTCTTAAAAAAATAAGACAATTTCAGTATATTTAATACTGAAAACAAATTATTCAAATTCAACAACATTATTTTTGGCGTCTTACGATACGTCATGTTTGTGTTTTCTAAACAACCACCCGGGTAAATTTAGCTGCATTTTAACGAAAAAATAATATTAACAAAAAGGTTATTTTATTATTAATTAATTAATACGTAGAAACTTATTCAAGTGTATGAGATCAAGTGTTTATTTTAACTTATTCAATTAACTATTTTTTTTATTATTCGTGTGTTACTTTTAAATTACTAAAAATATTCCAATACTTAAAGTTAGTTAATTATTAAAGGGTCGAATAATTAATACAATAATAAATATTTTGCAAAAATTATAATAATTTTTGTATTTATAGGCTTCTTCGTGAATTGATAATTAAGTTGACTTAATCACAATAATCTTTAACTTCGTATTCAAGTTTAAAGATTAAATCCATATACAATCATATTATAGGATAAGTTATATACATATTAATATTTTAATAAATAAGTGTAATTTAATTGAAAATATATAAACTAAAGTTGTAAAACTTAAAGTAAATAATTATCTTAAGTACACACCAATTAATTATGCAAGAAAAAAAGAGAGTCAAATTTGGTTATTAAAATAATTGAAAGTTGTTTAATTTTGATATAAATGAATTAGAGAAATCCATACGTGTCTTTTATTAAAGGTTTAAATTCTCCTGTTAATTTTCATTTTGTTTTAAAATTTTAATTAAGTATTTAGATTTTGATTGATCTCAATTAAATCTCATTTTTTTAAATGTGACGCAACTTGAGTATTATAGCAACAAGGTTAATTTATGTAATGTTGGGATAAGTGTGAGATGAAATATTTTAATTTAGTCTGTATTTGTTATTTTATCTTAATTTAGTTTTAATTTATTTTAAAATATTATAATTTCATTTATATTTAAAGATTAAATTTAACTTTTATATAAATATTATGATATTTTTAACAATATTGAATTTATTTAATTTTATATTTTATATTAACTTATTTTAGATTTACTTTTAAATATTTATATATCAATCATCTCTATACAAATGTTAGACATTTTTCAAAAATAAAATTTTTATAGATTCAAATGTAAATTTTAAAATAGTTTTATAAAAATTTAAAATAAATATATGTAAAATTTTAAAACAAAATATAAATAAAATTTAATTTAAAATATAAATTTTACATGACATTTTATTATCATCACTCATGACACTTTCTCACTGTTGTATATAATAGGACCGTAATTTAATAGATGACAATTTAAAAAAAAATAACAAAATAAAAAAATCACTAACTCATACATGATACATGAATTAATGCGATACGTTATTACTAACGAAACAACTAAATCATATCATAATTTAAAAAATAATGACCTAATTAAATATTTCAAAGAAATATGAAAAGAAACAAAATGTTTAAACTTTTATCAAACGATAAACAAACTCATCCTAAATTGAAGAGACGAAAACAGCTGAAATTTCCTTGAAAGAAAACACAGAATGACGGTCAGCTACCCAAGGAAGGGCAATTAATGGGAAGGAATGAGACTCACGTTAGAGCATTAACATCATACGCAGTGTGATGCACATTACATCACGATAACAACATCCATCCCTTTCTGTCGTTTCGTCCTGTTCAACATCCACAACACTGGTCCCTTCCTTTCACCCTCACCATCACCTTCGGTAGCTCCTACCAAAAGATTAAACTACTTTTTACTCATTTTTTTGTTTGCAATTTAAGATTGACTCCGAGTTTTAACACTAAAAATGACAAAGACGAGCATGGATAAACTTATTGTCTTTAACATTTTGGACATCAATTTAATTTTATGTCTCTATTGAATTCATGTCTTATTAATAATGTCTGTCTCCTAACTGTCTTCCTCCAAAGACGTATCTATTCTTAACATGTTATAACATCCTGTGTAATTGTTTCTGAGTTCTCGGTTTTTCTATGTTTTTTATCCCCTGATGGAAAGTGTAAGAACTTTATGAGGAGTAAAGTAAGATGTGTTCAAAATAAGAGAAAAGTGCTTGGAAGGTAAGAGATTGAACTGGAAATGACGAGGTGGAATAGAAGAATCTTCGGACTTGTTTCCATAGGGAGGAAAGAACGCGTGAGGATCTCTTGACCCACACAAGGGGTTTGAAAGAGTCAGCACATGAAATAAAAAAGATCACTCTCAAAGACTCCAACAAATCTATGCACACACTAAACTCTCCACTATCATGGACCCACGTTGTGGAAAACTCGTTCGGTTTAGCCAGTCAAAAGTATCTCCTTCCGTTCAAATTTTTCACTCTTATATATCCCTCTTCGTCTCACCTTCCAAACCAAGTCTTGTGTATATTTCACACTCACTTTAAGTCTTACTTTGCTGCCTTATATCTCCTCACTTTAGCATCCCCTTCATTTGGCACAACATCACTACTTCATTCTGCCTTGGATATTCTCCTTAATATGATCAAATCCCTCAACTGAGGAATTCAAGGCCTTAGTGCAACCAAGTAGGAGAGTAATTCCCTATCTGTTGTTTTGTTCTTGTTAGTTGATTTACACCAAATGGAACAGAGCCCCAAAAGAAAACACTCTAGCCTCATCCATGAACTTATCCAAGGTAAGGAGCTAGCAAAGCAGCTCGGTAACCTTCTGGTTTCTTCTTCTCCATCGTCCCATGAAGCCAATGAATTGTTGGTTGATAAAATTCTCTCCTCCTATGAGAAAGCACTCACCATGCTGAACTGGGGGTCCATTGTAGGAGAGGCCAAAACCACCGGTGCCACCATGATGGATTCCCATTGTTCTTTTACGAATGGAGGGAGTCCCAAAAGTGAGGTTGTGGACCGTGAATTAGATCACAAAGCTGTCCTCAAGAAAAGGTAATATCACGAGCTACCAAGTTCTTGTTTCTGTGAATTCTGTCAATTGTTGAGACTGGTTTTCTGATTTCAATATGGAACCCTTTGAATTTTTGGCGTGCAGAAAGACCATGCCTAGATGGACGGAGCAAGTGAAGATTTGCTCAAGAACAGGACTCGAGGGGTCTTTGGATGATGGATATAGCTGGAGGAAATACGGGCAGAAGGATATTCTTGGAGCCAAGTTTCCAAGGTCAGTTAGAAGCTCTCTTCTCATTTAACTTTCATTGTTATAAATTAAACAAGTTTGATTAAATGTATGCATGTATTCAATTTTTTCCTGGTTACAGAAAAATCAGTGGTTAATTATTCCAATCTGTATACTAATTCAAATGAACTTAAATTCGTCCCTTGTGTAAAAGGTGTTGAGTTGTATTAATGGGGTTAATTATGGAGTTGTGTGGCACTCTTATCAAATGGGACAACTTGTTGTAGAGTGCCATGCTGGTTTTGGGTTTGGCTGCTCATGTACCCCATTCATTATTAAATGCTATGACATGCAAATTGCAAGCGAATTTATAATGATAGACAAGAACAGAACATTAAGGCCTTTTTTCTCATTATTTTTTGACAGACTGTACTATAAACTTGAATGCAAATAAAAAGGATCATAAAAGAATACACGTTACTTTGCCAATCTGTAAAGAAAAAGAAGAAACTATTTTATAGTTTTGCCAAAAACTGACAACTTGTGGTTTGCATTGCAGAGGATATTACAGATGCACACATAGAAATGTTCAAGGGTGTCTGGCAACTAAACAAGTTCAAAGGTCAGATGAAGACCCGACAACAATTGAGGTGACCTACAGAGGAAGACATACGTGCACGCAAGCTAAGTATTTGAACAAGGCATTCCCATCAAACATAAAGAAGGGTTTGGGGGAAAATCAGTTCCACAATGATGAAACCAATCAACCAATTAAAGAGAAAATACAAGAAACCCCAGTGGGGATTTTCGCCTTTGAAACTGAGCATAGAGTCAAAACCGAGGAATTGGAAATCAAGGAAGATATCTTTCCATGGTTTTCATTTCCTTCTCAATCAAATGGATCAGAAAACGAGGACGTGTTACTCGAGTCTACTTTTGAAAACCATTTCACCGAAAGCTTTTCTCCTGCATTCATATCACCAGCCACTTCAGAATCAAACCCTTTCTGTTTGTCAGCGTGCTACTTGAACAGCACTGAACTGTTATGTCAACAGATTCAAACCTCAGAGTCTGATATCACTGAGACATTTTCGGCCCCAACTTCAGTAACCAACTCCCCAATCCTGGATTTGGACATTTTGCTTCATAAAGGGGATTTTGACACGGATTTCCCTTTCAACAACCCTGACTTTTTCTCTTCATTCGAACTTCCCTGCACTTCCACTTAGATAGTTAAAGAGTGGGTACCAACTAAGAACAGCGTAGCCAATGCCATAGTCTGTTCTGGATTAACTTGTGAGTCTTAGATCCTGGCTATGGAAGGGTATCATGGGTCATGTTGATAAACGAAGACAATGAAACCTCCTTGTCATGCAAGTTTAGTAGAGTTTTCCTGTATGTAATTTATGTTTTTACCTAGGGTTAGTGCGTAAATAATTTGTAGCTGTTGTGTACTTGTGCATTTTGTTACTTGTAATTGGTTTCGGTGTTTCTTTGGGCTCTTTAGAATTGAGTTTCTGAAATGAATGAGTTCTCATATTAGCTGCTGTCTATAATTATGGTCAATGTTCAATTTCATCACCAAACAAGAGAAAAAGATTGTGATCAATTTGGCCCAAGGATTCCGATGCCTGGCAGTAAGGGAATTCAATCAATCATTACTGTCTGGTGAAGATTGGAGGGCGTACGTTTTTGTTTGTAAATTTGACGTAAAATATAGATTTAAAATATAGATTTAAAATTCAAACAATCTGATCTTCATATGACAGTTTCAATTCATGACTAACTTCTCCGCATCTAAGGCTCATAATATAGACAGTACACAACTTTCTTGTTGGGAAGAACCCTTCTTAGTTATTTCTTTCTGAAAATCGCAGAGAACCAGTTTTAATAGCTAGTAGTTTTGTTAACCAAGACAACTTCTTATACTATTCCATATGAAATTTAGACAATACATTACATCCAAATCCCTTTCAACTTCGTAACTCTCATAATCCAATAATACGCTTTTTTAGTTGATCTGAAACTCAGATTAATTTTTAATAAAAAAGAAAAATGAAACAGTAATAAGAGACGCAGATGTCTGGTATTTTCTGTATTACAAGCAGATACAGCACAAGATGGAGACTAGAGTTCACCCATCCTTCTTGCACATTTGATACAATCATACAATATCATCTTCGCATCATATTTGAAAACAAATCCTTTGTCACACAGCTTTGTTGAGGTCCACTTGATATGCTTCCTCTGCCCATTTTCATCTCTGAAATGTAATTCTCAGATGAAAACTCTAAACAACTAAAAGGAAGAAAACTTGTGTTTTCCAAGACTATACAATCAAGTACAAATTTGATCTTAATCATCCTTAAAGTTATTCCATGGAAAATGTCCTTTTTTAGCATCTCTGTTCATAAAAGATTCTACAATTTAGGCCTTTGAGTTAGTTCCTTCATAAACAAACACAAAAAGACCGAGAAATAGTAAATCTAGCAATAATAAAGAACAGCCAACCACTTACTCTTGTTTCACATTGAATTCTGGATAATAACGAGCGTAATGGTTAGCCATCTCTTGTAAAGAAATGTAAGAACTGGCACACAAGAATCTTCCACTGATGGAGGTGCTTTCCATGCAGAAAATATGAGCTTCACATACATCATCAATGTGTGCAAGAGGAATTTTACCCAGTAATCCCTCTAGGAACTTGAGTGCTGTGTAGGCTATTTTATTTTGCACGATCTGTGCAATACAAACTACCCTGCTACCGAGTGTGGAAGATACGAGGGTGTCACCTCCCACTAGTCCGCAAGGGAGAGTTACTACCTCCAATTTTCTTCCACCATTTTCATCATTCCCATAGCTCAACAGATGTTTCTCAGACAGCGTTTTTGAATAAGCATAGTCCTTTAAATATAAGACCAATACAATAAAGTCAACATTTGTATATTTGCAACTCTGTTCATGTTTGATTCTTGTAAAGTGAACTGTAGTAATAAATAATCTCAATCATGTAAGAAAATCAACTGATAAAATTCCCAAGATTGATCTGTAGTACGAGACTTTATATCAATAATGATTTTCCTCGTTTATGACTAAAATTATTAATCACTCACCTTACTTTACAGTTAGCTGAATCCTCTAAATGATTATGTTGTGAATTTGGGGTGGCTTCTATCCTAACACCTGAGGTAAATTTATCTTTCATGCAAACTATTGCCTACTGTTACTAACTCCTTATATCTTTTTTTATGGAAAGACATCCTTCTACTTTTTTCAATTCATTTGTATCATGTATTTTTTTAAAGGAAATACAGTATCAATGAAATATAAATCCAGTTCCCAGTTAAGAAATTGAAACCACTCTATCTCATAACCTTAGGCAATGAGTTTATATAATATCATCCGCTTAATTTCCTTATATCCCAACTGAGAAAAAAAAGTGCAAATGAGAGCATGTAGTAGTAGGAATCCAAATTCTTTCTTTGAAACAAATTGAAGAATAAAATATTAGGAACTAACCTTGTAATAAGGATCAGGGAATACATAGTCCAAGGAATCATTGAGAGGAGTCCAGCAAGTTTCATCCATTACATCTTTGAAATCACTCCCATCTTCTTTCAGCGGAGAGGCTGATACAACAGAAGCAGTGTAGATCATACGCTTCACCGTCCCTGATCTCACACATGACAGGGCAATGCTTTTCGCACCTGCAACTGCTGCTTCCGTAATATCCCTGTACTGCTATATATGTATATATGCATGCATCTTATCATCACATCACTCATGTATAGTATTAAAAGATTAAAATTATACTTTCAAGAATTTCATCCCATGCCTTAAACAGATTGAGTTATGCATCCAGAGTTAAAGAAACGAACCTGAGATGAACCTGGTTCGTGGATGAAGGGAGTAGCAACATGAAACACACACTCACATCCTTGAATTGCAGGATCAAATTGAATTGGGTCGTAAATATCAGCTTCAAACAGAACCAGTTTGCCTTCTGCATGAGGAAGGCTCTTTAACAGCCCTACCTTTGACTCGTTCTCTGATGATTATGTTCCAAAATATGAATAAAAACTCAGATTTGACAGAAAGAGAAAGAGAAAGAGATAGAGAGAATACTGACTGAAATCTCTGAGAGTTGCATGAACAGTATAACCCTTGGCCAGTAGCTTCTTGATGAGCCATGAACCAATGTAACCAGTGCCTCCTGTCACACATACCTTGCTCCCTTCGCCCATTTTTATTATCTTTACACAGATGCGTATACACCACAAACAATATTACAAATTTCAAATGAAGTTGAAGTAGTTTCTAAAGTGGATGTTTTTTCCTCATTTTCCTGGCTCACAAATACTGCCAAAGCACGTTTTAAAATTCTAATTGGTAAATTAGTATATGTGAAAAATAATCCGAATGTGAATACCTTGTCTTAAAATTCGTAAAGTTGCATAAATCTCATCACTCTATTTAACTTATTATATGATAAAGTGATCTAAACTAAATTTTCTCAGTGTGTTTGTCTCGGATCACTTTCATTTTTTAAGTATGAGTAAAACCGTGGTACACGCAACCTTTTAAACTATTTTTAGATTCAAGGAGTCCTAGAATTTAATAATTATAAAAGAAATTAATGCGCAAAAGAAAGACACATATATGCATTAATAATTAGCATGGTCGAAGGAACTCATTACAAGTACTTTTCCAAGCCTTCCGTAATTTTGTAGCTTAGTATACCCTTTAATTCGTTCAATACTTTTAATTTACTTTTGAGAGAATTCTAACACTTTAGCAATATATTTTTATTTTTAACGTGTATGTCAAACTTCTAATATCTCCATAAATTTTAGATTTCAACAGCTTTCTTCAAAAACATAAATAAAATTGTTGGAATAAACTTAAATTTTAGATGTTTATTAATAATTTTATGGGTTAAATATGTTTTTAGTCCCTAAACTATTGGCCGTTTTTGGTTTTCGTCCCTCTTTCAAAGTAAGGTACAATTTGGTCCTCATTCTTTTCGAAAACGTTCGTTTTAGTCCTCGAAAACTAACACCGTTTAAAAATTTGGTCCTCATTTAGCAACAAAATGAGGACTAAAACCAAAGTTCTGAGGACTAAAACGAACGTTTCGAAAAGAATGAGGACCAAATTGTACCTTACTTTGAAAGAGGGACGAAAACCAAAAACGACCAATAGTTTAGGGACTAAAGACATATTTAACCCTAATTTTATTTGAATTTTATTTTATTAGTTTTGGGTTTAGTAATACTTAGTTTGACTTTTATAGAGATAAAATAGGAATAAGTAGTTTTGATTTTTCATTTAGGTACAATATTATTTTATTTTATTGATATAAGATAGGGATAGATTAAATAGATTTTATTTTAAGTCTGCTGATATTTTATTGTAATTATTTGTATTTGGTCCAATGTTCTATTTGTACCTATTTAAATGGAGGCAAAGTTCAATGAAAATAACTACAGTGAATTGAAGAATATTATTATACTGTGAGTCACATTCTTTTTCTACAAAGTGGTATAAGAGCCTCAGGTTGTCAATGGTATAAGTGTGCCACAACCACTACAAAAATCAAGAATTTTACTAGGGTTTTTTTTTGCATTATCGAGGGTTTTAACTCCTGATAAATACCTTTTCCCCAATTAGGAAAACTCTGGGAAAAGCACGGTTGACAAATAATTTCCAACAATTTTGTGAGTAACCGCTACTATTTGTGGGTGTTCTTAAAAACCGCCGCTACTTGCAGGGTTCTTATAAACCGCCTCTACTTGTAGGGGTTTTTATGAGAATCACCAGTACTTGCTGAAGTTCAACAAAATCACCAGTGCTTGCTCGGGTTCAACAGAACCATTAGTAGTTACAAGGATTCTACCAAAACCACCGATAATGACTGGATTCACATAGTTGGAGTTTCTAGAATTGCTAATAATGTAAAAAAATTTATTTTATTATTCAAATGATTTGGTGATCATAAAAAGTGTTTTAATAGTAAACCAAAATAAAATAAAATGAAACCAAAACTAAATATAAACCAAAATATTATTATATAAAAGAATATCATTTAAAGCATTCATACCTTCTCCATTTTTAACTATCGTTTACCTATATTAACAAATCTTATAGTAACACCAAATACAAGATACTTTGTCACTAGACCCCTACCCAGTCTACAAGCAAGCACTAATGCAAAAAATGTTTTTTATACCTGTTAAAAAAGATTTTTTATATCTATTTTGAGTTGGTATAAAAGTGAAAGATATAGGAAATTTTTGATTTTTTACACCGATTCTAGAATAAACTTTTTACACCGGTTATGTCTATAACAGATATAAAAGTTGTAATTCACATCTGCAATTCTAGAGCAGGTATAAAAAAGTAACAGATAAAACCAATTTTTCATACCCAAGGGTTCCATATCAGGTATAAAAGAATCTCACTTGTATACCTACCGTTATTGTAACATGTATAAAAAAATAAGACTTTTTTATACATATTGTGCTTTAAGAAGTATAAAAGAGACATTTTGTTTTTGAATATTTGATTTGTATCTGCCACTATCCATATTTAGACCTGCATAGAATTCAATTCCATAATACAATCTAAATTATCAATAACAAAAAAAATAATCAATATTATTTCTATTATTAACACATCAAAATAGTTCCTCAATGTAATATTTACCTAACAATGTCCCTAAACATAACATAATTACACATAAAATAGTTTCTCAATTCAAAATGTAATATTGAAACATCTAACCATCTAGAAACGGTTATACATAGAAATTGAAAATTACATTGTTTATAATCCAACTTAAAAAATTAACAATTACATTGTCTATAATTCAATAACGTGTCTTTCTAACAATTAATCACTTGTTGAATTTGATAGGCAATTTATCACCTAGACTTCGAGCATCTTCTACCTGCAACAATAAATAAAGATTACACTCTGGCGTCAATCCCAAAATGTGTGCAAATTTTAAGAAAAAGAAAAAGTAAGACTGAACCAGCGGGTCCAAATGAATGAGAGAGAACAATTATATCTGACCAAATTATAACACCTAGGAAATGTTTAAGTTGAACTTGGAACATGTCACCAAACAATAATTTAAAAAATCTAAGTGATATTTCTACCTGGTATGAATAAAATGGTTATTGCTAATCCAAATACAAATGCAAATTTGACTTGAGAAACCAGCATCGCCCCTGCATCCATTACAATCAGTGCAAGAAAAATCACAGTTACATACGACCAAAGATTCAATAAAAACATGTTAGAAAACACTGACTTTTGTGAAAAAACATGTCAAAGCTTTATTAGCTTAAAGTCTGTAAACTATGCAATATATTGTAACATGAGACAAGGATTGATGGCAAAATTAAGAGCCCTTACTGTGTAGGGAATCTGGATGCAGAGAGTCTGGTAGCTTACATCCTGGAGCTCCTTTTCCCATGTGGAGGCCTTTGAGTGTGCTTTCAAGACACAGAACAAATTCAAGATTGCATTTTACATATGGTTATATTGACAAAATAGAGTTGCTAAGATTAAATTAGATACAAAATGAAAATACATCTACTGCGAGGTTTAAAAGGTTGCTTAATAGTTTTTATTTTACTTCAACTTAATTTTCAAAAACATATATAACACGCAATTAAACGACATCAAATCTGATAAGTGACAACCATGGGTCTCCTAGTGATTATTCCCATGTTCAATATGACGAAAAGAAACAACCCCTGCATGCTTTGAAGTCTAATGATGAAAATATGTATGTTAGCAACATTATCATTTTCTCTCCCTTCCGCAAGGCCAAGGGGCTTACTTCCTCCATCATTTTCTTGGGCATTAACAACTAAAGAATTGATTCAATATTCACAGCTATTGTGAACTCCCTTCAGTCCTTCAACGTTCTTTCATTGTGTTCTTCACTGTTGCAACAGGTTGGTCCTTTACCCTTGTTTTATTTTTCCTCTGAAATTTTGTATACCACTTTCTGATTTTGTATATACATTTGTGCAAATTTTTAATGATTTTGTATATACAACTTGTAAAAGTGCTCTGTCTATGCTAGTTGATGGGTAGAGTGGAAAACAGTGTTATTTAATACTGTTTCTGTCTTCTGTCTATGCTCTGATTTGAATTTAAAGGTAGGTAAACGGTGGAATATATGTTTTTGTCTTCTGTTTTATGCGTTTCAAATATGCTAAATTTCTTTACTTGTCTCAAGACTAATTAGAAGTCTGTTTATTAGAATGAATGGTGGATTAAACTTTGCATGTCACTAGTTTTTCTCAGCCATTCTTTAGTTGATAATTTTTTAAACGCAAAGTTCTAACCCTTGGCTTCAATTTCATTNAACCATTAGTAGTTACAAGGATTCTACCAAAACCACCGATAATGACTGGATTCACATAGTTGGAGTTTCTAGAATTGCTAATAATGTAAAAAAATTTATTTTATTATTCAAATGATTTGGTGATCATAAAAAGTGTTTTAATAGTAAACCAAAATAAAATAAAATGAAACCAAAACTAAATATAAACCAAAATATTATTATATAAAAGAATATCATTTAAAGCATTCATACCTTCTCCATTTTTAACTATCGTTTACCTATATTAACAAATCTTATAGTAACACCAAATACAAGATACTTTGTCACTAGACCCCTACCCAGTCTACAAGCAAGCACTAATGCAAAAAATGTTTTTTATACCTGTTAAAAAAGATTTTTTATATCTATTTTGAGTTGGTATAAAAGTGAAAGATATAGGAAATTTTTGATTTTTTACACCGATTCTAGAATAAACTTTTTACACCGGTTATGTCTATAACAGATATAAAAGTTGTAATTCACATCTGCAATTCTAGAGCAGGTATAAAAAAGTAACAGATAAAACCAATTTTTCATACCCAAGGGTTCCATATCAGGTATAAAAGAATCTCACTTGTATACCTACCGTTATTGTAACATGTATAAAAAAATAAGACTTTTTTATACATATTGTGCTTTAAGAAGTATAAAAGAGACATTTTGTTTTTGAATATTTGATTTGTATCTGCCACTATCCATATTTAGACCTGCATAGAATTCAATTCCATAATACAATCTAAATTATCAATAACAAAAAAAATAATCAATATTATTTCTATTATTAACACATCAAAATAGTTCCTCAATGTAATATTTACCTAACAATGTCCCTAAACATAACATAATTACACATAAAATAGTTTCTCAATTCAAAATGTAATATTGAAACATCTAACCATCTAGAAACGGTTATACATAGAAATTGAAAATTACATTGTTTATAATCCAACTTAAAAAATTAACAATTACATTGTCTATAATTCAATAACGTGTCTTTCTAACAATTAATCACTTGTTGAATTTGATAGGCAATTTATCACCTAGACTTCGAGCATCTTCTACCTGCAACAATAAATAAAGATTACACTCTGGCGTCAATCCCAAAATGTGTGCAAATTTTAAGAAAAAGAAAAAGTAAGACTGAACCAGCGGGTCCAAATGAATGAGAGAGAACAATTATATCTGACCAAATTATAACACCTAGGAAATGTTTAAGTTGAACTTGGAACATGTCACCAAACAATAATTTAAAAAATCTAAGTGATATTTCTACCTGGTATGAATAAAATGGTTATTGCTAATCCAAATACAAATGCAAATTTGACTTGAGAAACCAGCATCGCCCCTGCATCCATTACAATCAGTGCAAGAAAAATCACAGTTACATACGACCAAAGATTCAATAAAAACATGTTAGAAAACACTGACTTTTGTGAAAAAACATGTCAAAGCTTTATTAGCTTAAAGTCTGTAAACTATGCAATATATTGTAACATGAGACAAGGATTGATGGCAAAATTAAGAGCCCTTACTGTGTAGGGAATCTGGATGCAGAGAGTCTGGTAGCTTACATCCTGGAGCTCCTTTTCCCATGTGGAGGCCTTTGAGTGTGCTTTCAAGACACAGAACAAATTCAAGATTGCATTTTACATATGGTTATATTGACAAAATAGAGTTGCTAAGATTAAATTAGATACAAAATGAAAATACATCTACTGCGAGGTTTAAAAGGTTGCTTAATAGTTTTTATTTTACTTCAACTTAATTTTCAAAAACATATATAACACGCAATTAAACGACATCAAATCTGATAAGTGACAACCATGGGTCTCCTAGTGATTATTCCCATGTTCAATATGACGAAAAGAAACAACCCCTGCATGCTTTGAAGTCTAATGATGAAAATATGTATGTTAGCAACATTATCATTTTCTCTCCCTTCCGCAAGGCCAAGGGGCTTACTTCCTCCATCATTTTCTTGGGCATTAACAACTAAAGAATTGATTCGCTATTCACAGCTATTGCGAACTCCCTTCCGTCCTTCAACATTCTTTCACTGTGTTCTTCATAACAGGTTGGTCCTTTACCTTTGTTTTATTTTTCCTCTGAAATTTTGTATACCACTTTCTGATTTTGTATATACATTTGTGCAAATTTTTAATGATTTTGTATATACAACTTGTAAAAGTGCTCTGTCTATGCTAGTTGATGGGTAGAGTGGAAAACAGTGTTATTTAATACTGTTTCTGTCTTCTGTCTATGCTCTGATTTGAATTTAAAGGTAGGTAAACGGTGGAATATATGTTTTTGTCTTCTGTTTTATGCGTTTCAAATATGCTAAATTTCTTTACTTGTCTCAAGACTAATTAGAAGTCTGTTTATTAGAATGAATGGTGGATTAAACTTTGCATGTCACTAGTTTTTCTCAGCCATTCTTTAGTTGATAATTTTTTAAACGCAAAGTTCTAACCCTTGGCTTCAATTTCATTGACTCTTCATATCTTTATCTAGGAAAAACGTTAAGCAAAAGAAGTTTAACTCTGAACAGAAGAAGGCATACACTCCATTTATTTTGGGTTTTATTTTTTAGGTGTGTGAGTAAAAAAATGAAAAACAAGGTGAAAAAAATAAGTGAGAAAATATAACTGTATTTGAAAATGTCTTTGAAAGACAAACAGGTACTATTGTAGTTGTCTGGGTGTGTGCTATTTTGTTGTATAAATGTTGTGGGAAGTTGAAACAATATATCGGCCACACTGATTTGTGATGACAAATAAAGATTAGGATAGTATGAAAGATGTGGAGATCAGATACAGATGAAGATATGCTCTTTATTAATCTTAGAACATGGGTAATGAAACTAGTGGCATACTTTTTCTTTTATAAAATAGGTAGCAGATTCATTTTGAAAGAGGATCCTTTCCACTTGCTTAAATGTGCAAAAGACGTATCTTAATTTATCTTGTTTTTAAAAAATTCATCCTTTTTTAAAGTCGAAATTTATTGAATATGATAAATCCTGCTTTAGGTGCTTGTAAATTGTGATATTAATAAAATATGTTTACATTAAATTAGGTTTGTTTTTATCTGTATCTTTATTACAATTTACCCTATTTAATATCTGCTTGTAAAAATCAACATGGATCCACTAGAAAAGCAAGAATAACTTTTATGTGGTTAGGATAATCATTAGCTTATTGAAATATTTCACACTGGTTAAGTTTGCTTTATAAGGGGTTAATGACACCATGTGGTTAATTTTGTGAAGCAAGTAGTTAATAATATCCTTAATTTATAAGGAGTTTATGAGCAAGTTTCATTTTACATTTGATTCTGATTTTTATGCATTCTTGTTTGTATAGTTTTCCTCTTTGGTATTTTTTCCCTTTTCATGAGTGTATTAGACTAAACCTCTCTGTCTAAGCAAGTTTGAGAAGAAACGATTCTTCAACTGGTTTCTTTGCTTGGGTTGTTTGCCATGCTACAAGTTGTTCAAAGCTCGGTTTCAGATCCCCCAGTTGAAAGTAGACCACACAACAGAGTGTGTTCTGAGGAACCTAATAGCATTTGAGCAGTGTCACTATCCTGAAGAACCTTACATCTTCAACTATGTTTCTCTGATTGACTCTTTTATTCACTCCAAAGATGATGCAGAGTTGCTGGTTGAGAAAGAAATTATTGTCCATGAACTGGCAAATCTGGTTAATGATCTTTGCAAACATGTGACAAATTCAACATGCTACCACCAGATCATGGAAGATGTTAATGAACACTACAACAATGATTGGAAATGGGCAATGGGGACATTGAGGTGGGTTTACTTCAGAGACCCTTGGAGAAGCAGTTCTACTATAGTGGGGGTTGCGGTCCTAATATTCACTGCCTTCAACTTCTACCGTGTTACTGATCTACTCTTTTAGTAAATTTTTCTGTATTACATCATCGTCCGTGATTGCACACTAACGGTTACATTTCCCATTTTCTCGCAAATAAGTGGCCTGTTTATTATCAAACATATGAATTGATAACAAATAGCAGTTTCACATCCTTAACTCTAGGAGAGGAGTTAAAATTTTGTAAAAAGGAAAGCCCATGGGCTGGTCCTAACCCATAGGGCTTTGGGAGGTTTTTAGCCCTGTGGGCTTTTTTAGTGAAGGGTTTCCTTTGGCCCTGTGGGCTTTTTTGGCCCCAACCCACATGGGTTAGGGCCAAATCTTATTAAAGGGGCTCACTTAACAGCTCTACAATTTCATCACCACTTCAATTGTCCCAAATATCATTATAGTGATCTGGTCTCTCTCTTCCCATGGTCCAATTGTATCTTTCCACTAATATCTGTTATGCAGATGATCACCTTCAACATTGGTGCCACTTAATGAATGCAATGGACAAGGATAAATAGAGTTATTACCATCAATGTAGTAAGCACACACAACAGTAAATGTTCCCCACATGTTCATAATTGGTCAAATATATTTTCCTCACTTTTTTATATAAATTATTTATATACTCTGATTTTTTATTAGATATTTTGGTATATTTTCTATTTGAACATTGATGTTGATATTTTGAAATTTTTTAATATATTTTAAAACATCAAAATTAATGTTTATCAGTATTTTAAAATTATTCAGATTAAAAAATCGAAATTTTTAGCACATATTATAAACACATGAAATACTTAATAGTTTCTCTCAAAAAGCACTGTAACACATCACCCACCTTCCTCTGTTTACCATTAAACAAGGCATCATGTAACATATAATGTATGATTCAATTTTCTTATCATCTTATCTGATTCTTTTGCAGGGATATATATATATATATATATATATATATATATATATATATATATAAACTAACGATAGATCCTGAAAATGTGATTTGATCCAATTTAAATATTTTTTTCTGTAAACACTTGTTGAAAATGTAACTAAGAAGTTTCGACCCTATTTAACCTAGAACTAAAGAAACAAACAAAATGAGTAAGAAATCATAGGTTTAGAATTAAGTCAGCTACAGAAACATCAGCTACTGCTAATAAAATTGAAAAGAGAAATTGTTGATATCATATGGACTGAACTAAATAGTGAAGTATCCTAATAAGACTATTGAAATATTGAGTTTTTAATATTAATCCTCTTTAAAGACTGAATGCAAAGGCAAGGCATCACTCATATTGGATAACAAATAGGCCATGAAACTGCAGTGGGAATGAAATGCTCGAAGCAAAGGAAAGTTAATGGGTTGTCAAACATTCAGCTTTACAAACTTAAATTGCAATTAAATTAAGAAATTTAAAATAAACTTAAATTTAAGTAATTTGAGTTGCAACATAACCAATAATGTAATGTATACAAAAAACTTAAACATGTTAAGCAAGATGAAATTTAAAACAGAAATTACAGGAAAAGGAAAGAACATACCGATCCATACCACAGAGCATGATACACAGTTCCACAAGATCCTGCAAACCAATAATACAAAGGTAAATAAAAACTACTTTTCACTATATATTATTGGTTTTACAAGTGCATCAAATTAAGGTGATGGGCCTAATAAAGAAGCAAACAAATTTCAAAAGTATATAGTAATCACTCTTACTTTTATACTAGTAATCACCCAATTTTGACCCAATCTCTTTTTTCTTTTCCTCTTAGCCAAATTACACTCCACATGAACTCTCAAATCATACCAACAAAATGACTCAATCTCTTTTTTCTTTTCCTCTGCCAATACAAACTTAATATAAATTATGCCAATGACATAATCATAACACCACCTGCAGTTCCAATTTTAAATCATATACCTCACTTAATGTAACTTAAAAAAAATTTACATAACTAAGAAACAGAACCAAGAATTACCACCTGACAACTTACTGATATAAGCAACCTAAATATCGTAAATGAAAACATATAGTTTTAACTTTCTATTTTAATTAGATGATGAGGATATCCTTGTTCTCATTGATTTAGAAGTACATTTCATGCTGCAACTAGTTAACAGAATTCTTTCAACCATTCTAAATTACATTTTTTAATTATATTTTTCACTTTACACTCATACATCTCTACATATTAATTTCTAAAGTAAACTTTAGTAGTCTTTTTAACTACACTACACCTACAATTACAAATGAATCTTAATCCTCAAAAAGAAGAAAATTGAAGGAACTCAATTACCCAATTTATCAAGGAAACTCTACAACTCCTTAAACCTTAAGCAGAGAAGCTCCAGTGCACTCTAGACCAAGGGGCCACCAAGTTGCGAGGAGGTTGCTGCTGGAAGCAAATCACAACTGCAGACAAATTGTCTCCACTCTTTCTCATTGAAGCCTCATCAACCAAATCCTTACTATACAAGGTTCAGTCATTATGGTCCTGGAGCCTATTGTTACTAAAAATCATATTATTTTCGTGTTAACAAAAAGCACACGCAAAACCCAAATCCAAATTCGCAAAAAAGCAGAGATCGAAGGAAAAAAGGAGAAAAAGTTCCATAACACAAGTTAGAATATATAATCAGCAACAAGCACAAATTTCTGAAGCGCACAAAAATATTAAAAATTAAACCTGCTGAAAAAAATGGCGGGCTTCGTCCTCGTGCTACCTACATCTTGCAATACCACTTCATCTTGGCGAATACTCAAGCAACTACTGCTGCCACTTAAGCTATTAACATCACTAGAATCCTCAACATCACTAGCTGGATATACAACGTACCAATTTCCAAAACACATTCATCCTCTTAATCCCTCATAATCACGACCAGAGTATCATCTGAACGACTGTCGTCGCTGACGATAAAGAATAGGGGAACAAGCAAATTGACACCCTCAATGACATCATGGAGCGGCGCGCAACACCTGCGGCGAGTGGCAGTGGTGCGAACAATGGTGGCGCTACGAGAAACAAAACCCTAATTGATCTCGTGTTGGAGTATCTCCAATCTTCGCTCGTGTGCGGTGGCGGAACCCTATCCATAGACGTTTCCAACTTTATCTAGTGCCCAAACACAGCGAGATCTAACACTTCTAGGATGGGGTGCGACCCATGAGCACGACAAGGGTTTTGACGAGAGACGACTTGGCGATTTGGATGGGGTCACGACGTTGTAGATGGCGAGGGTTTTGTACTGTGCCCTTAATGCAGAGGAGGTCGTCGTGGAGGCAACGTAGCTAGAGAAGAAATGCGCAAAGAGATTGAGAAGTAAAGGAGAAGAAATGCCCAAAGAGAACGAGAAGGAGGGTTGCAGAATGTCAAATATTCTATACCCGTAAGGAGAACAACCGGCGTGGAAAAAGTTCTCTAAAATTATATTTTTGTTAGTAATATATTTTTATACCAGTTTTAAATCTAATAGGCATAAAAATGACATGTAAAAGTTTTTATCATTTGCTATTTTATTACTTTTTATACTTGTATGAGACGAGTTGGTATAAAAAAGATTAATGTCACTTTACCAATTTTTTATACCTATTATATTTTGACAGTATAAAATTTAGCTATAAAAAACCTATTTTGTATCAGTGAAGAGTTACAACACCACCAATAACTAGCATCTTGGAAATGTTCACGACTTGTGGTTCCTCATGTTCAATCTTTTGAACAGTTCCCACCTTCTTTTCCTTACTCCGAGCTTGTTCCTCACCTTCTTTTCTTTCCTCCAAGCTTTGCAATTTCCCATGAAATGCCCATTTCTTCATGATGGAAGAGTAAAACTGCACAGGCAGTGCAGTTAACTGACTGGTACCTCTCTTTGATTCCATTGTTAAAAAAATACCATATCACAAATAATTAGCACCCATTAGCCCACTGAGCGAGAACAATTAAATACACTTAAATCAGGAGAAACTTCTAATGCACTTTTCGTATCCATTGCATTTTCATGGTACCAGTAATTGGACACTCTTCAATAGTTAAGGACTTTGCAAGCAAGTCATCCCATCTAGGTCTAAATTCCATAGCATGTTGGGTATCTAAGGGTAAGTCCAAGTTTCACATTGGATAGAAATGAGAAAGTAGAGCAGTATATAAAGATGAAAGACCCTTTAACCCATTGTCTTAAGGTTTTGGGTAAAGAGTGGTGTCTATCCTTTATATAGTTGGCTCATATGTTATTGGTGTTTGTGTAAGTCACACGAAACCTCCTCCTTGATCCCCTATACCGAAAGTCTTCCTACAAAGAGTATTCAGGTAAGTAAGTTTTGTTAAGATATGACCCTTGGAAATGACTAATGCTTTCTCGTGGTTGTTGTTAGTTAAGAATGCTTTCACTGTAAGGAGAATGTACCTATGTGGAAAAAAATCACTCTATTGTTTCTTCTATACTGGGGAGGAATAAGCGAACAAAACAAATATAAAAAAAAACATCAAATAAAGTAGGTAATTCAAATATGAGTAGAAGGTTCTACCAAGGAAATAACATACATTTGGTTCTCTTTGCCATGCTTTATATCTCATAGTAGAGGTAGAACGATCCATCATCTGATTCCAAGCGAGACCTCCATCGTTCTAGAAATTGATTTTCACCAAGTCGACTGCATAATAATAGTTATAAATTAAAGAAATGTTGGTTTTTGCAGTGAAACAAAACATAATTAATGCAATTGAGATTGAGAATAATAAAAGTATAATAAAGGAATGACACTTACATGTGTTTTAGTGTAGTGAGTCTAGCAAATGTTGCAACTAAATTTCCAGTAAAATAGTTGGATGTAAGAAGCCTATATAAACAACATTGAAAATCAAATATACAATGCACTTTCAAAGCTATTTTATACAAAACAAAAGAAACTTAGTGAATTTGGAAATGATTTCTCAAAATTATTATCTAAGCACATTGAAGAAGAAAAGGCATTTGAACAAAATTTTACCAATGAACACAAGTACTGTTTAATTTTGTTGTGGTAAACATTAATGAAAACAATTGAAAAAACTGATAACTCCAAAAAAAATATGTAAATAAATTATTACACTTATCTCGTACATACCATGACAGCAAATATACACACATAATGTTATATCTTTGCGAGTTTTATTACACGGATAATAAAAACGTAATACTGATTTTCAAGAATAATAAAAAATAAAGCAAAAGTTGTCCATTTATAAACTTCAACATCACTGCTCAAGGATTATTTGAAACATCGTTTGCTCAAACGATTCAGGTGATAATTAAAAAAAAACACAAACACACAAACAAAATATAATAAAAATGTATAAAAATAATATTTATTCTAGACTTCACTATACAGATCGTGTCAAACTTTTTGGACACATGTACTCTGTGTGGAACAGTTTGACCACACAAGGTTACTCCAAAAATTCCAATGCACAGGAAGTGAATTCAATCGATCATTAATGTTTGGCGAAGATCGGAGGGCTTATGTTTTTGATTGTAAATTTGACGTAAAATATACATTTAAAATTCAAATAATCTGAACTTCATATGATAGTTTGCATTCATGACTAACTTCACAGCACTCATAATATAGACAGTACAGAACTTTCTTGTTAGAAAGAACCCTAGTTGTTTCTTTCCGAAAATCCCAGAGAACAAGTTTTTATAGCTAGTAGTTTTGTTAAGACAATTTCTTATACTATTCCATATGAAACTCACTCCATTACATCCAAATCCCTTTCAATTTGGTAACTCTCAGTCGAATAATTCACTTTTCTGGTTGATTTGAAACTCAGATTATTTTTTAATAAAAAAGAAAAAACAAACAGTACTAACAGAAACAGATGTCTCTGCTATTTGCTGTATTACAAACAGATACAACACAAGATGGAGACTAGAGTTCACCCATCCTTCTTGCACATTTGATACAATCATCCAATATCATCTTCGCGTCATATCTGTATACAAATCCTTTATCACACAGCTTTGTTGATGTCCACTTCATATCCTTCCTCTGCCCATCTTCATCTCTGAAATGTAATTTTCAGATGAAAACTGTAAACAATTAATAGGAAGAAAACTTAACTTGTGTATATCCAATCATGTACAAATTTGATCTTAATCGTGTTTAAAGTTATATTCCATAGAAAATGTCCTTGTTTAACATCTTTTTGCAGAAAAGATACTACTATTTAGACCTTTGAGTTAGTTCTTTCAGAAACAAAAAAAAAAAAAAAAGACTAAGAAATAGTAAATCTAGCAATAACCAAGAACAGGCAATCACTCACTCTTGTTTGACGGTGAATTCTGGATAATAAAGAGCGTAATGGTTAGCCATCTCTTGTAATGAAATGTAAGAACTTGCACACAAGAATCTTCCACTGATGGAGGTGCTTTCCATGCAGAAAATATGAGCTTCACATACATCATCAATGTGTGCAAGAGGAATTTTACCCAGCAATCCCTCTAGGAACTTGAGTGTTTTGTAGGCTATTTCATTTTGCACGATCTGTGAAATGCAAATTACCCTGCTATTGATTGTGGAAGATACGAGGGTGTCACCTCCCACTAGTCCGCAAGGGAGAGTCACTACCTCCAATTTTCTTCCACCATTTTCATCATTCCCATAGCTCAACAGATGTTTCTCAGACAGTGTTTTTGAATAAACATAGTCCTTTAAATATAAGATCAATACAATAAAGTCAACATTTGTATATTTGCACCTCTGTTCATGTTTGATTCTTGTAAAGTGAATAGTAGTAAGAAACAATCTCAATCATGTAAGAAAATCAACTGATAAAATTCCCAAGATTGATCTGTAGTACGAGACTTGTTATCAATAATGATTTTCCTTGTTAATGACCAAAATTATTACTCACTCACCTTACACACTTTACAGTTAGCTGAATCCCTCTAAATGACTATGTTGTGAATATAAAGGACCATTAACGAGATATAATATCAATCAAATATAAATTCAATTTCTTATAAGAAATTGACATTTTAAAAAAATGAATTTATATGTTGTCATCCGTTTAATTTCCTTATATCCCAACTATAACACTTATTGTTTCTTTACTTTTCTCTTATAATCCAGGGAGAAGAAAAGTGTAATGAGAGCATGGAGTAGTAGGAAACCAAATTCTTTCTTTGAAACAAATTGAAGAATAAAATGTTGGGAACTAACCTTGTAAAAAGGATCAGGGAATACGAATTCCAAGGAATCATTGAGAGGAGTCCAGCAAGTTTCATCCATTACATCTTTGAAATCACTCCCATCTTCTTTCAGCGGAGAGGCTGATACAACAGAAGCAGTGTAGATCATACGCTTCACCGTCCCTGATCTCACACATGACAGGGCAATGCTTTTCGCACCTGCAACTGCTGCTTCCGTAGTATCCTTGTACTGCTATATATGTATATATGCATGCGTCTTATCATCACATCACTCATGTATAGTATTAAAAGATTAAAATTATGCTTTCAAAAATTTCATCCCATGCCTTAAACAGATTGAGTTATGCATCCAGAGTTAAAGAAACGAACCTGAGATGAACCTGGTTCGTGGGTGAGGGGAGTAGCAACATGAAACACACACTCACATCCTTGAATTGCGGGATCAAATTGAATTGGGTCGTAAATATCAGCTTCAAACAGAACCAGTTTTCCTTCTGCATGAGGAAGGCTCTTTAGCAGCCCTACCTTTGACTCGTTCTCTGATGATTATGTTCCAAAATATGAATAAAAACTCAGATATGATAGAAAGAGAAAGAGAAAGAGACAGAGAGAGAATACTGACTCAAATCTCTGAGAGTTGCATGAACAGTATAACCCTTGCCCAGTAGCTTCTTGATGAGCCATGAACCAATGAAACCAGTGCCTCCTGTAACACATACCTTGCTCCCTTCTCTCATTTTTCCTACTCTTTTCACTGATATTCACACCACAAACACTTACAACTCTAGTGAAATAGCTTTTGAAGAAATATTGCCAAAACACTCTTTAAACATGTACACTGTTAGATTTCAGATTGGTATTCTTATATGTGAAAAATAATCCAAGTGTGAATTAAAAATGATAAAGTTATACACTACATAACATACGAAAGATCCATAAACTTGCTTATTTAATAGCATCTACTCTATTTAACTTATTATTGAATATAGTG